AACAACTTCCGTCGGCGAGGTGTTGTTGGGGCCCTATGCTCCAGTGGGAGTCTACAGGGATTATTATTATTATATTATTTTAAGCCACAAACTGACTAATTTGTACAAGTTTGTGATATACATAAACTCTTAATTTGAGGCACACAAATATTCAGTATTCAGAGGTTGTTTTGAAATGGTACTCAAAGGAAACAGTACAAACAATAGCATATACTTTTGTTCTGAAGCTGCTTAGAATGAGATATATATACAGGGGTAATAAAGTGAAAATTATGTTATAAGATAAAAATGACATGATCTCCAAGTTATTGTAAACTTTACAAATTGTTCATGAATGACCTCATATTACATCTAGTTTACTTTATAATTTTAGTTTAATTTAATGCTTTTTGCTAACAACATTATAAAATAAGCTTATATGTATGTATGTTTGTCTGATCAAGACTTCTTTGTTTAGCAGTCTATCATCATCATCATACACTTACCTCCAGTGTTTAACAAAGGAGCTATCTTCTGTTTACTATTGCTATTAATAAAACATTTCTCATATTGAAGAAGCCTAGTTGAGAAAGTGTGTTAAAAATAAGAAATATTTCATAGCACTTACTGTTAGTGGTATCTTAGCTTCTACTGTCAGTAATATACATACCTCTTTACCACTTACTGTTAGTGGTATCTTAGCTTCTACTGTCAGTAATATACATACCTCTTACTGTTAGTGGTATCGTAGCTTCTACTGTCAGTAATATACATACCTCCGGTATGTATATTACTGACAGTAGAAGCTAAGATACCACTAACAGTAAGTGCTAAATATTTAGTACTTACTGTTAGTGGTATCTTAGCTTCTACTGTCAGTAATATACATACCTCTTACTATCACTGGTGTCTTAACTGACAAATTATGTTAATAAGAAAAATTATCATAGCTCCTACAATTGATGATATATTACCTGAGAAATAGTGTTAATAAGACACATCAGCAATGCTCCTATTATTGGAGGTATCCCAGCCAATAAAAAAGCTGCTTTATAATTCTTTGTGTGATCATACAAAATTCCTAAATAAAAGCAAAAACGTTTTCATTAGGTCACTCAATTCAAAAACAATTAACACTAAAATAAAGTTAATGTGAACTAACAAATAGTTACAAAATTTCAAAGACTTATATAGAACAGAAACCAACACATACATTGTTTTTTGGTATTTCAAAATGTTTGTGTCATTATTGACAAAACAATTTGCAGAGAAAAAATAAATACCAGAAAGTCACAAAGGATGTTTGAATCTCTGTAAGAAAGTCTGGTTAGATTCAAATTAAACTGAGATTTAGGACACTTAGATTATTCATTACTGAAACAGGAAAAATCATATTTGTAAATGGCAAAGTATATTCCATACCTGCAATTGGAGGTCCCAGTGTAAGAGGGATAGAACAGAGTCCCAAGAGAAAACCAATAGCTTGAGGAGAGCCTTTGAAGCCAGCAATATCAAAAGCAATAGGACCCAGGAGTGAGATAAAGCAACCATCAAATAAACCCAGAAGGAGACACAGGAAAATTAAAACTGCAAATTGATTGGCTAATACAAAGAGCATAGTTAGAAGGCCCATAGAAATGAAAGCCACCTGTGGAACAAATCAGGCAACTAATAAATCTATTGAAATTAAGAGACAGTAATTAGTTACTAATACAGAGTACAACATAAGGCTACAGATAACTATTCTATGTGCATAAAAATTCTACTTGTGTATTTCCTTTGTAAGTATTCTCCAGAAAAACAGAAACTCATGTACCAAAAAATATATAAAAGCTTCCGACTTATGTTCTTTTTATACTTATTGTTAATCATTAGATGTGTGATTAATTCAATTACCTACAACAACAATTATCTCAATTAGTGTAAAATAATCGATTAATTGAAATGGTTAAACTGATTAATATCATGAAAATAATCAATTCATCGAAATTAGTGTTTCTGATTATTACTATTTTTGATTATTTCAACAATCATTTATTATAATTAAATTGTCATCATAATAATCAACTAATGAAAATTGGTGGATTCGATTATCACTGTTCACAGTTATTTCAACAATCAATCAATCAAAATTATGATTAAATTGAATGCCACAAAAATATCAACTAACTAATCAAAACAGTGCCATTATAATGTTTCATCAATATTTTTGAATAATGAAAGTCGAACTCAAGTGATTAGTGTCATGACTCAAAAAAATAATCTACTAATTGAAGTTAACCTTTTCTTTACCTGAAAATGTATTACCGTTAGATACCTCTTCACCCAGTTAAGCTAACTTGCCTTAGAGATTTGCATGCTACTAGCCTTTAGTAAATTCCCACCTACTCTCAAGAGATTTCTTGTAAATTGAGTTACTGCATAATGACCTCATTATGCAGGAAAAGCCTTCCACCAATAGAAGGGCAACATACCTCCTTTCACACTAACTCCCTCAATTCATTTGCAATCGTGAATCTTCATTTTTCAATGAGTACTAAGGTGCACCATAAGTGGGGAGGATGGGTGGCAATGTGTGTGTGGAGGTATCTATCCGAAATACATTTTCAGGTAAGAAAAATGTTAACTTCCAAAATGGTACAACACCCCTGCAGATAGTTATGATAGAATACCCGGGAGGAGTGGTGGAGGGAACAGAGTCAATATGTGCAGTGTGGTTTGTGAACAATCAGACTGTATCTTATGTTCACCCAAACTCTACCATTAGACTTCACTGGACAAACACCAGCTGCAGAAGGAGTGCACAGTAGTCATGCCATAGAGAATAGTATGGTGTGTGCACACCTTGACTTAACTAAACAGACATCAGTTGTAGGAGGATGGCATGGTTTGGTAGTGTATGTTCACCTCAATTCAACTGAATAGTTTACATCTGCAGGAAAAGGTCACCTGTGTGTAAAGTGTGCTCACCCTAACTCTACTGAACAGACATGACTGTAGGAGGAGGGCATGGCATAATGGCGTGTGTTTGCTTCAATTCAACCGAACAGTCAAAGGCTGCAGGAGGACTGCACACAATTATAGTGTGTGTGTTCACCTCATCTCAACTGAACTGAACAGACTCAGACCACAGGAAGAGGGCACAAGTGACATGTGGTATAGCTATATGAGGGGTGACCTGCACTATACTTAGAATGTCACCAACACCCCATGTCCCAACATACTGGCACCCATTGTTCTAGCTCCAGCAATTAGGTCCCAATTGCTTAGGATTCTCCATGGTCCACTGCCCCAGCAGAAAGGAACTGGTAAGTGTCAAGGGTTTCCCATGCTCTACTTGAAGAGAAAAAGGGGAGAGGAATTCATGGTAGAGAGACTTGAAGAAAATGCACAGATCCATGACAGTCCTTCAGCTGGAAAGGACTGCATAACCCTATTTTAAGAAGCCAGCAAACATGAGCCTCCTTCTGGTGTTGGCTTTTTCCATGATAATCCATGAAATAGGCATGGTCTGGACTGGACAATATATATATGTGTATGTATGTATTCCATGAGGATATATCAAATGGTCTTGCAAAATACCCCATCTCACAATGGGCATATATTAAGCCAGGCAGATGGTATGAGCACTTTTAATTATCCTGGCTTGATGCAGATTTCAGGAAATAAGTATACCCTGGAAGGCCCCACTTACCATCTGGAAGGATCCTGTAGGCAAATACTGTAAAAAAGGGGGAAGGTACTCACTGTCTATAATTAGTTGGTAGACCATATAATGGTAAACAGAGGATGAGGTAACCTTTAGGAGATGAGACAGTCAGATCAAGATAGTGGGCTATGAAAGTGTGAGGAGTTGTCCACATCCCATCCTGAAGGATCTCTTCCAACAGTTGTTGGAAATGAACAATTAGGAAATGAGTGAGGTAAAAAATCTGATGGGGTGAAATGTGGAACAGTCTGTGAGCATCAATCCCCAATGAGGAGTTGACTGAACATAGAAGTTAGCAGACCCAACCTGTAAGAGTAAAAGGAGAAATGTCCTTGGAGGAAGAGGAATTCCTGGGAATGAAGAGTTAGTGATAGGAGCCTCCAAAATGTGAGGTACAAGTAGTAACAAATGGCAAAAGCAGGGCACATAGTCTGTCTCGGTACAATCAATCATAGAGATGAGAGATAGAAGGAGGGGAAAAAGAGCAGTTACCTTCCCTAGCAGCCAAAGCTTTGGGGAGGAAGGACCAGTCAGGATAAAGTAGAATACAAGAGTAATGGAAGAGAGTACGGGAAGACTCAATAACATAAATATCTGAATGACAGTGACTACAAGCAAGAAGTAAGAGGAAATAGGTTTTGAGGGAAAGGTAGTATAAGGTCCAAGTTGCCAATGGCTTGAAAGGTTTGTGGGTAAGAACTAACAGAATGACCTCAAGGTCCCAGTAAAGCATGGGAGCAGAGCAAAGTGGTCTATGGAGAAGGAAGGTATGAAATAAGGTGGAGAGAACTGGGCAGAAAAACAGCTTGCAATATTGAGAAACATTAAATGTTGTGGACATGGCTGTACAATAACCAAAAATGGTGAAGATAGCTAATCCACAATTAAACAGCCAGGAAAAGAAAAAGGTGAAATGGATGACAGTAGGATGGTCAGGAGGAAGGTTGTGGAAAACTTACCACTTACATTACCAAAAGGACCAAGTGGAAGGGCAACAGGAATGAGAAAAGGCAAAAAAGCTATGTGACTGGAGACTCCAGTTTTACGGGTGAGGGGGCAGACAACTTCCAAACTTGAAGGTGGAGGGGTAAGATCCATTGATGGAGTCATGACTTGTGAGTTTGATGCAAAAGAGAGGGTATGGTTGGTAGGAGAAGAGAGGATTGGGTTGTCAGGTGATGTAGAAAAGAAAATCAAGGTTCATATGACCAGAGAGGTGCCATCAAGAAGGCATGACAAGGAGTGTCACGAATCACATCAAGAACCTCAGGTAAAAGATGAAGAGGCGAGTATACATAAAGGAAAAGATGAAACCAGTCCTGGCTGAAAGCATTGACAGCCAGGGCAGAGGGTTGGTGAACCAAATACCAAAAGAAAGGAAGCTTGGAATTGAGAAAGGTGGTAAATGCATTGATGAGTAGAGTTACCAAAGAAGAGCACACCCAAGGGAAAATCTGAAGATGAAGAAGCCATTCTGTGGGCAGAACAAGAACGAGGTGTTCCAGAATCAGGTTCATATTGTCCTGTACATGGCAGGCAATGAGATGAACCCATTGAGAATTGGTCCAATAAAGAAGGTCCAAAGTTTGAAAGCAAAGGGTCTTGGATTAGGTACCCCCTTGGTTGTTGATATAAAAAAAATTAAAGTTGTCAGAATGGATCATAACTACATAATCCACAAGGTGGAGTAAGAAATGAGAACATGCCAGATGAACCATCAAAAGTTCAAGTGTGTTGATATGTAGAGGGAGCTTGTCCTGGGTCCATGTGCATGAAGTGAGATTGCCATTCAGAGAAGCTCCTCAACCAGAGAGAGAGAAGCATCAGTGAAGAGTACAGGTCTGATTTAGGTGGAAGTAATGGATCACCAATGGTGGTATTGAATTGGTCCAACCACAAAGACAGAGCTTTGAGTAGTGGAGGGGATAGGTGAACCACTGAAGTCAAAGGTTGCCATGAGTGTTTCCACTGGTCATGTAAGGACCATTGGATGAGACATATGTGTAATACCAAAATGGATAAGTGGTTCCAGTGAAGCCATGGTTCTCAAATGCAACAGAACCTCTCACAAGATATGAGTAGGAGAGGCATGAATCCTGGTGACTAGTAGTTCCATAACTTGTAGGCAGGTAGGAGAATGTAGAGCACATCTGAGAAAGGAGTTGAAGAAAACTCCCAGGTGAAAAAAAAGTTGTGTGAGAATGAGGAAAGATTTGGAAGTGTTGACAAGCCACCCATAGCAGGCAGTGAGACAGCAGAAGCCAATTTTCCATGTAGAAATGGAATTTCAGTCCCAGCTCATGCAGATGGTGAGCAAAGGATCTGACCATAGAGTTGAAGATGTAAGTGGCCAACACATTGTCAAATGGAAGAGCTTGAAACTGGAAGATATGATGCCAATGAATGAAATGGAGGATGTGCAGGAATGCATGTGAAATGTCAACTTTGGTCATCCACAGAGGAAAGGATCTGGAGAGAAAGTCTGTGAGTAGGAATTAGAGTAAGCCACTTGTCTGCAGAAAAATGTGACCACAGGTGCACAAACCACAACAGATGGGCCTCCATGGGATCTGATACAACTTATTAGTCACTGACAAGCTTGACAAGTCTGACAATGGGTAGAAGAGGAAGGTTTGGACGTGGAAAGTGAAAGATAGGAAATAGAGGGACTAGGTCGAGGTACAGGGTTTGGGTTTGAGACAGTCTGGAAACTAAGGAAGAAAGCAAGGATTGATGACCCGCAGCCTCTGCCCATTATTCAATAGAATCAGGAATACTCCTAAAAACTTTAGAGTGAAGAAAAGGGGCTAGGCAAAGATCTTGTAGAAAGGAAGTAGGAAGTAAAACCTGGTAAAGAAGAGTATCCCTACCCAACAAGTCCCAGCAACAACTGAGCCAAGTGAGCAGGGAGAGGGCTAAAGAAGTGGAGAAGAAAATGG